AGGGTGTCTGTTTTGAATTAACCTTGAACTCCACAGTATTCCTACCACATGCTAAGAACCTGATAAGAAATACGTCATTGTAAGATATTGGTTGGGTAAGGTAGCCAGGTTTGGACATGGAGGCTAACAAAGTTCAAGGGAAATGAACTTGAGATAATTGTTTTTCTGCAAGCCAAAAGTTAAAGACAACAACAATGTAGATATAACTCAGTAATCTATGAGGAGGTGTTGAATAGTGTAGGGGAGGGAATTGAGGATTGGAAACAGTGTTTGCAATTGATACCTGCTCTCTGAAGGCTCTAATGGGGGGATCCCAGCAATGCTTTAAGGATACATTTAGGAGGGCTGACAATGCTTAATTTAACTGTAAATTAAGTTGTTCTTGAATTAACTTATTAAGGCTTTGGAAGCGACTTCTTTGGAATGATCTTTTGTATTCATGGAGTGTCTGGTAGACCTACATGTGAGTCTACATATCTAGGATTTTTTGGGCAATCTGACATTCAACTAGGCCATAGGAAGCATTTTTCAATAAGTTGAATAACAGTTAAAGATGACTTCGGGTTAAGAAAGAATGTATGACAATGGAAGCAATTACGCTTCACTAAGAATTTCCCAACAACGGAATGGCTTGCTACACCTCACCGAAAAATGCATGCAGACCCTCAAGGATAGGCTGTGTGTATAGAAAATGTGGCAAATCAGGACACAGTCTAGCCTGAGTGTCAGCCTTGTTAGCTTTCGTCCGCTCCCCAAGACACCAGGGAGCGGATCTTGGGGAGCGGACGAAAGCTAACAAGGCTGACACTCAGCCTAGACACAATCTTCCCATGCCCATAGCATGAACCCCCCCCCCCCACAAGACTCAAAGGTCCACTTTTTGGTCCACGTTTTATGTAAAGGTCCACTTTTTGGTCCACTTTTTATGTAAAGGTCCAAGATTTTTCTTGAAAAGATGGATTGGAATCTTAGAAAAACTGCTCCCTTTGTCATTGAATAAAAATTTATCTCTGATTTTTTCTTGGAAATCCTCTCAAAAATGCACGAAATGCCATTTTAGAAGGTTCATTTTTCAAAATTTTCCGGACCCCCCTAGGAACCTCGCGAAAGTGCTCAAGGTCCCCTCAAGCAGTGGGAAGAACCCCCCCATTCAAAATCCTGACTACAGGCATGCTTCCCATCCATCCTCTGCTTGGAGACTGAGCCTTGCACAAGACACTGCTGAACAAACAGACCACTGTGAGATGACTATCATGTGAGCGGGTGTTGACATGTACCATTGACACACCATGAAGAACACATTAACACTTGTCACCACCAGGGTGCTGGGGAGCATAATTTATCACCACTAACTTCCTTACAAGAGAGCCAGGCAACCTAGTCTCCACCAGACTCCTTTGCAGGCTGAATAAATAGCAGAAATCGGCTAAGGGGAACATCATTGGCCAGAGGAGTTGGCCAGCCAT